GGGAACTGCCAACACGTCGACCAGGACTGCGAGTTTGCCCCATGAAAGCGCTGTCCTACTGCTGACGGACGGGACGGTCAGGTGGGCCTCCCTGTCTGCCAGACGGACGGACAGACAGACAGACAGACAGGGGCGTCTTTGTGACGGCAATTAGGTAAGCGCACACCGCCCCTCCGCCCCTCTGACCGCGTCCCCCGCTCGCCCCTGTCTGTTCCTCTCTCTCCCTCTCTCTCTTACTCACTCACTGCCGGGCGCCGCGGCCTGCAAGCGCAAGAGTGGAACAGAAATAGTACGAAACTAGGATTTATGGGGGGAGTGGGGGTAAAGGGCTCGCGGAGCATGGCGGGGCATGGCGGGAGGGCTCGCCAGCGGGCTAAGGGCGTAAACAAGCACGCAGCCCTTCAGCTGCCATCACTTTCCCTCGGCCCAGCCACGCCCCCACCCCCCCTTTTCCCCTCGGCCTCCTCTCTCTCTCTCTCTCTCTCTCTCTCTCTCCCCCCCCCGGGCCCTCCTCCCCCGCTCTCCTCTCCCCCCAACAAGGCGGCCGGCGGCAGGCGGGAGGCGCGCGAGTTCAAACAACTTTACGCAATTTCAGAGACGCGTCGTCGTCGTCGTGGCGGCGGCGGGGCCTCGGCCGGTAGTAGGGCGTCGCGGCGTGGCGCGTCGCATTGGAGAGTTATGGTCCATCTAGGAGGAGTAAGGGGTGCCGCGCGCGTGTGTCTGTGTGCCTGGGGGGGGGGGGGTGTGTGTGTGGTGTGTGTGGTCGCGCGCGCGGGGGGCGGGGGCCCGTGGTATCGACGACCGTTTCTTTTTGCACAAACTTTGAAGCTGACGGCAGCATGAATCGACTTTTTTCCAGGTTTTGGTTTTGTATCCTTACTGCGTCGGGGCCCCGGAGCTGGCACTGGGGCATCGCGGCATTGACTTGTTTCACTTACGGCGCCGCGTCGCGGCTAGCGCGGCTAGAGGTGCCAACCGTCCCGTTGTCGTCGCGGCGCGTATGCGCGCTCACGCCGCACGACCGGCGGGGCGGTGCGGTGGCAACCCTAGCCCGTATGCACGCACACGCGCGCACGCAGCACAATTGCACGCCGAGTACAGTACACTGTACGCGCGGGAATGTAGGCACGGTGATTGGCAAGTCCGGAGTAATAACTCAGTCAGCGTTGGGCGGGCGCCAGTGAGAGAGGGAGAGAGAGAGGAGAGAGAGAGACAGAGAGAGAGAGAAGAGAGGGGAGGGAGAGAGAGGAGAGAAGGGGAGAAGAGAGAAAGGGGGGAGAGGAAAAGAGAGAGAGAGAGAGAGAGAAAAAGAGAGCGAGAAAAGAGAGAGAGAGAGAGAGAGCGACGGAGCGCAGTTCGGAATCAGCCTGCAGGTGCGCACGGTACCGTTGAGTCCCAGCTCAGCCCTAAACACCACGCCGCGGTTTCTCATATTTTCGGCGCGCGGGGGGATCGAACCCTCGGACGCGACAGGACCCGCTCGCAGCGCTGCGCCAGACTATACCCGTTGCCTTTGTCGCGCCGCCACATCTGTGGGACAAACTCCTTACGCAACGGAAGACTTATGTTTCCGCCGGGCCTTCTAGCACTAGACGCGGGGCCCGACTTTCCGGTTTCCCCCCCGGGGGGGTCCCCCGGCCCCGCACGGCCGTGGCGGTGCGAGAGAGACAGCGCCACTGCTCGGAAGCAGCCCGCCGCGCAGCCCAGCACGCAGAACAGTAAAAAGGGGGCAACCCTATTTCTAGGCCCTTGTCCCGTTTCGTGATTTCTAAACGTTTTCGATTCTATTTGTTTTTTGTTCGATCGGTTCGTTTTATTCCGTACGGATGGGAGCGCCTCTACCGGGAAAGACCGCAATCTCATTATCACAGTGGCGTAGCGGCGGCGCGGCGGCGCAGCTAGATGATGCGGTGACAGGTCTGCACAGCTGCCGCTGAATCGGGCGCTTGCACGATGCGGTGAGCGTGTGTGTGTGTGTCTGCGTGTCCGTGTGTGCGTTTGTCGTGCGTGTGCTTCTGAGTTGCGTACACGCCAGCCACTGCTGCGCGCTGCTGCGGCTTTTAGTGGTAATCTCTGTCTCTCTGTCAGCCGAAAGCCGATTAAGCACGGTTGCCTCCATTTCGATAAATCACTCGCCCCGCGGACTCTTGGTCGCGGAGTGTCTGGAGGTCTGGAGCCTCGTCTGGACGGTGTGGACGGTGTGGACCGCCGGGGGCGGCGTGCTGGCCAATTGCTCTGCTGGGAAAAAGGACCCCCCCCAACCCGCCCCCGCCGACGACCACGCCGACGACCACGCCGACGACCACGCCGACGACCACGCCGACGACCACGCCGACGACCACGCCGACGACCACGCCGACGACCACGCCGACGACCACGCCGACGACCACGCCGACGACCACGCCGACGACCACGCCGACGACCACGCTTTCTCTCTCTCTCGCTCCCCCTAGGATGGCCACCGCCGGGCAGGGCGCCGCGAGAGAGACCGCGTTATTTTTAAATGCGTAATCCCGATTTAAATTGAATGTGCATCGCTCTGCCTGCCTTGCCTGCGGTTGACACGTGCCTCCCCCTCCCCTTCCCTGGGGCACGTGTACAGTGCCCCTGCCCCCTCGGGTGCTGCGTGTGCTTTTAGCCACGCCACTGCCAACCCAGTGACAGCACACTCATTCCGAAAGTCGTTTTCGACGCTGTCTCTCTCGCACTCGCGGGGCGTTCTTACGGATGGCGAGAGAGACAGCGACGAAAACGGCTCTCGGAATCAGTCTGCAGGAGCGTCGTAATGACCCGGGTCTAGTCACGCGTGTCACGCGTTCGGTTCGGAGCAGTGCACCGCCCGGCCCAACGAGCAGACTGATTCCAAACTGTGGTTTCATCGCTGTGTTTCTCTCTCTCGCACCCATGCGGGACGCCACATGACTGCAAGAGAGAGAGAGAGAGAGAGAGAGAGAGAGAGAGAGAGAGAGAAGAGAGACGGTGGTGCTAATCTGCGGCTGCAGTCTAAGGCTAGCGCGCTAACGCCAAGGTTAATGCCGTGGATGCTGCCATCCGTTGCCTAACTTGCAGCGATAAGGGAAAAACGAAAAACGTCATTTCGGCAAAATTGGCGGCCGAATCTGCTCTCGATAAGTTGACGCTCGACCAGCACGCGGCGTGGATTTGCTGCCCCGCGGGCGACACGGCTACACCAACTGGTCTGTCGGCTCATGTGGAGCACCTGGAACTACCGATATTGATGTTGTTGTTGTTGTTTTTGTTGTTGTTGAAAAATTCCACGTTGCTCGAACCAGCGCTAGCTGCGGCGAGGCCCGCTGACATACAGACTGCAAACCGGTGGGGACCCTCTCCTCGTGGCCACCCCCGTCGTTTTGACACACGATTCGATGACAGGCATTTAACCCGCCTCTCCATCTCTCTCTAGCCATCTCTTTCCCTCTCCCTCACCTGCACCATTACGTGGCGAGGCTTATCAATCTCTGACATTTGGAAGGAACCACGGCGTCGTGACCCGGGCCCGAGTCCGGTGCCGGAGTGCGAAAGAGAGAGAGAGAGAGAGAGAGAGAGAGAGAGAGAGAAGAGAGAGAGAGAGAGAGAGAGAGAGGAGTGTGGGAACGGCAAGGCAAGGGAACAGCATCCGTCCTCAGCATCCCATGCGCCGCCCCTGCTCGCCGCCAGGAGGCGCCATCGCGCTGCGGCGCTACCCCGCGCCCGAGCTTGGCCAACGTGCGGGCCGGCGTGGGGTATCGCCGCCGGCTCGCCGCCCGGGCGCGCGGAGTATCTCCACCCGCAGCGCGGCGTGGACAGAGGGAAGCACCAGCGCTCCCTGCTGCCTATCCTGGAGTCTGCAGGCGCTCCACTGTGGGGCCGGCGACAAAAACTCTAGACGCGTTTTGAGCTCCAGAGTCACTAAACAGGCCTCGAACCGAACGTGTGACCCCACCAATGGATTCCTCGTTCTGAGAGCAATCCATTGGTGGGGTCACACGTTCGGTTCGAGTCCCATTTAGCGACTCTGGAGCTCAAAACGCGTCTAGAGTTTTGGCCGCCGCCACCCGTCTTCTGGCCCACTGTGCGCTCTCGTGTTCCGATGCGCCGTCGGCTGGTTTTCTCGCCGCCTTGGTGTTTTCATCCTCAGCAGTTGTTCTCTACGTTGGCTGCAAGGTGTTTCCTGCCTTTTCCGAATGCTAACACGAGTTTGTTTTTGTTTGTTCCCAGGTGAGCGCATTGCTGGGCCGACCCGCCCGGCTGCTGGGGCGCTCATGAGCTCTTCTCGCCTGGTCCATCAGGTAGGCGTCTCACCTTCGTCAATCCGTTTCATTCGCTGACTTTGTCGCAACGCCCTGTCTCTAATCTCAATCTTTGCAGCAAGCATTTGGCGGTAACAACAGAACGAAACTGAACCTCTCTGGAACCGATATTGGAGCCCACAACGCACTCGTCAAACTTTGATGTGACATCGACACACTGTTTATTTTTAATCGTTATTAAATTTATTTTTGTAAAGGTTCAACCTGAGTCTATGGTACAAAGTAAGATGCAGTGCAGGTGCCTGTTATGGTATCGTGACGCAAGACTGAAATTTTCGGCGCAAGCAATGCCGTCCGAGGAGAGCGGCCGCGTCTAGCGCGCCGTGCCTGGGCGCGTCTGGCCAGCCACGCCACTGTAAACGCTTGCCTGGCCGAACTGCCGTGTCCCTGTCCACCGCCGCCCCTTATTTTTAGCAGCTGTGCGGTCCTCCGCCACCGCTGGGGTTCGCTTCTCGCCTTGGCGGGGGTTTAAGTCACGTGGTGGTCGCCGCCCCGCCCCGCCGCACCCCGCCCCGCCCCGCCCCGCCCCCCGCCCCGCCCCGCCGCACCCCGCCCGCCCCGCCACGCCGCGCCACGCCGCGGTTGGCCCGTGTCGCGTTTTTCCTGGCCGGTGCGTCCCGGCGCTCTTGGCGGTCCCCGCCGGTTTTCGTTTGGGCCGTAGTGGCACTAGTGCACGCCAGGCTGCAGCGCGGGCCGCGTCCACCTCGCTGTGACGTGCGTGTCACGAGCGCGTCGCCTCGGCGTGACGACGGTGTCACGGCGTTGTCCGGCCGGTCGAGTGTTGCCGCTGGGCTGTTACTGCCGCGGCGTCGTCGGCCACCTCGGCACCTCGTCGTCGGCGTGGTGATCCGGGAGGGCGACCGAACGGCAGCACGGGCTGGCCGCTGCTTCGCCGCTACGCTGCTAAATGCGGACCGGACGACCGAGGACAGTGCGGACTCTTCCTCACGGCCACGGTGTCGTCGGGACGGGGCGCGGCGGCGCGGCGGCCGAACCCTAACCTCAAAACGCGGCCCTCGATGATGCTACCCTCCATCTTCTCCTCCCGGTGGTCCATGCGTCGTCCCCCGCGGATGGGGCGCTACCACGTGGACCCAGCCCAGGCCGCCGCGCACGCCCGGGAGCGCCGCAACAACTCCGCCAACGGCCTCAGGTTTCTCACTAACACTCTCCACTTTTGAGTGTGAGTGTCCCAGTGTCCCCGTCTGCTAGTTTGGGTCGAGGTCCCGGGGTTCGCGGTTCGCTTTGGGAGGTTCCCGCCGAGCCCTGGCGGCGTGGCCGTGGCTCGGCCAGGGAAGTCCCGGTGACGAGGCGATAGCTGTCCCACTTTCGGTCCTTTTGAGCGTGAGTGTCCCTGGGCGACTCGAGGCACGGAGTGCTACGGAGTGCTCTTCCGAGTCCACTTTATCAGTGCCGTGCCGCGGATCTTCGGTCTTCGGCGATGGCCGCACCGAACCGGCCCGGTGACAGTCACCTCCAAAAACTGGCTCGGGTCGATCCATCCCCTTTCCGCCCTTTCTCGGCTCACTCGTCGCCGTGACGCTATTCGCGCTGCCCACACGCCCTCACGCCCACTCGCCCACACCGACCGCGTCGCCCACGTCGCCCACACCACGCCGCCCCTTGCCGTTCCAGATGTGTGTGGACCTGCTGCTGCGGCCGGCAGACCAAGCCCGAGTGCCAGAGCTCCTCGGCGTCGCAGTGAAGTGAGGGCAAGTGAAGCGCGGGCAGCGCAAACTGGACTGAACTGACACGCACAGCGCGCGGGGCCAGCACCTGCCAGGCCCACCCCTGCCAGGCCCGCCCCTGCCGGCCATGGCGTCCAAGACCAAAGTGGCCCACTTCCGCAAGGGGGCGCGGAAGGAGAATTACAAGAGCTTCGGCCACCGGCGCAAGGTACGCGCGGGACGTGGTTCGAATCCCGACGTTCTAACCGTTTTTCTTTTTTTTTTTTTTTCGCCAAACTAAACGCACTAACCGAACGAGCCTCTGACAGCTGTGTGTGCCGTGTGTTCGAATAACAGCACGTTAGCGGCGGTGAAACCGTTTGGCCCCGTCGGCAGGCGAGACTGGGCAAGTCTCGGTGCACAGTGGGCCAGAAGACCGGTGGAGGCGGCCAAAACTCGAATCGCGTTTTGAGCCCTAGAGTCGCTGAACAGGACTCGAACCGAACGTGTGACCCCACCAATGGATTGCTCTCCGAACGAGGAATCCATTGGTGGGGTCACACGCTCGGTTCGAGTTCCATTTAGCGACTCTGGAGCTCAAAACGCGTCTAGGGTTTTGACCGCCTCAACCGTTCTTCTGGCCCACTGTGGGCGCTGCCAGTGGCGTCCTGGCCGGAAGCCAGTGCCGGTCTTTTGACGCACCAGCTTCCTGTGTACGTCCGTTCGTACGCCCCCACTGTTTAGCAGTGCCGCGGCATTTCTCATCCCAGTCCCGCCTTGATCCGCTGCTGAATGGGGAGCAGCAGACATGATTCCGCGTCGCTCTGACGGCTCACTGGGAGTGCGAGAGAGACAGAGCAAATTCACATCATTTCCCCGGTGCTGGTGGTGATGGGGGTTGCGCGCGACGCGTATTGAGGGATTGAACAGAAGATCGGAGAGGGGCTGCAACCCCACAACGAAGAAACCTCCCCGAACCTCCCCCTGTCAGGCCTCCCCTCTCGCCCTTGCTAGCCCTTGCTAGCCCGCTCTAGCCCGCTCTAGCCGGCACAATCTAGGCCAATTTGCCCTTGCGCGCTAGCGCCAGCGCCGTGCCCCGGGTCCCACGGGCCCCCGCCGTCAAGAGGCACTGCTGGAGCTGCCGGAACGCTCCCCGACGGCTGCAGCGGACCGCTCGCCCTGCCGTGCTGGCAGCAATCGCAGTCCATTTGTTGCCGTTTTCAAATCCAGTTTCATTGCTGTCGAAAAAAGAATTCAAAACCCGGATATTCGAACCGCGATCTCGCGCGCTGCAGTCCGACTGCCGTGCCCACTCGGCCAAGGCGAGGTTTGCGGACGTGCCAAGCGCTTGTTACGCCCCAGGTGCTGCGGGTAGTTTCCGCCGCGCAACGACAACCCTTGTCGTGATTTCCCTCCACGTTTTCTCCTCTCCCCCCTCCCCATCCCTCTCTGCTTCTCCCCCTCCCTCTCTCTCCGCCCTTCTCGGGCAGGGCCAGGGCGGCCACAGATCCCTGGGCAGGGCCGGCAGGGCCGGCAGGGCGTTTTGGCTGCGGCTAGAATGAATGATTACTGCAGTAAGGAGTGGGAGTAGGCTGTACACACAACACCACGCCGCGGCGCGCCGATCGTGACGTGGCGTACATTCGTGCATCGCCTCTCTTTCCGTATCCCTTCTCTCTCTCCTCTCTCCTCTCTCTCTCTCTCTCTCTCTCTCTCTCTCTCTCTCTCTCTCTCTCTCTCTCTCTCTCCCATCCACTCCAAAGCCCCACGTTCCTCCTCTCCCTCGCACTCGCGGTCAAGATGGCCGGTCCATGCCCTGCAGCTTGCCCTGCTTGCCCAGCAGACTGATTCCGAGAGTCGTTCTCGTCGCTCCGTCTCTCTCGCACTCGTGGGGCGTCCCTTATGGGTGCGAGAGAGACAGAGCGACGAAGACGACTCTCGGAATCAGTCTGCTGCTTGCCCTGCAGACGCACTGGACGCCTTGGACACTCAGCGGACACACTGCCGTTGCCGGGCGCCGCGGCTGGCTGTGGGCCATCTCTCCGTCTCTCTGTCTCTCTCGCACTCGCACGGCGTTGCGGCGCTGCGCACGGGTGCGAGAGAGACAGAGAGACGGGCCTACGGGCGCCGCGGCTCGGCCTGCTGGTCGGGCCCGGTGCCGACGGTGCCCGGTCGGGGGCTCCTCCGATCGACCAACGCAGGCGCAGTGGCCGCGGGTGCCGCGGTCTGGAGCAGGGGGGCGGGGGAGGGGCGTGGCGTGGCGTGGTGGCGGGGGTGGGGCGGGGCGGGGCGGGGCGGGGCGGGGCGTCGTAGCGGCGCGGCCGTAACGCAAACGCAGTAACGCAGTGCTAGCGGGAGCAGGCCCGCGTCGAGGCGCGCTGCGCTACGCTGCGGTGCGGTCCGGCGGCTCGGCTCCGCGAAACGCGAAACGGGACGCGGAAGGCTCGTCGTGGTCTGGCCCTCGGTGGGGTTCTGGGTCGCGGTGCGACGTCGCCCTCCCCCTGCATGGGGCTGGTGCGGCTGGTCGTGCCGGAGGCGGTGCCGGAGGCGGTGCCGGAGGCCGGCCCGGCAGGGCGGACTAGCGCCGTCGGCCCCGTCAGCCCCGCCCTCCCCGGTCTAGTGCGTCCGCCGCGTCCGCCGCGTCCAACGCGACAGTGAGCGCCGAGTGCGGCAGCCAGGCAGCGCGGCCGGCCAGACCGACGGGCCAGACGCCCCGCGGGCCATGCGGCCCGGTGGGGCCTGCTCCAGGCCAAGCTGTGGGACGAGGACGCGGCCTGCAGGGCCCTGTCCCGCGAGGCGACGCTAGGGGCCCTGCCTCGCCAGGCACCCGGAGAGCCGGTCCCCCTCGGCGCCCTCGGCCCCGGCCTCGGCCCCGGCGGCGGCAGCGCGGGAGCGGGGTCCTCGTCGTCGTCGTCCAGGAGGCCGCGGCCCAGCATGGTGCAGAGGACCGTGCTGGGATACAACCAGCACCCGGCTGGCTACAACAAGCTCTTCACGCAGGTACAGCTGGCTGGGGCAAGCTTTGGTGTTGTCCCTCCCGGCCCGTGGGGAGGGGATGTCTCGAATCCGGAACCAAGCCCCCGGGTGTCTGTACCAGCTGTACAGCTGTGCCTCGCGAAAGCCCCGTCAAACCTCCGATTTCGAGAGCCGGTTCACAAGGGGCGTCGGAACAAAAAGCGCGGCCGAGCGGGGCTGCACCGCGCGTTCTATTCCTGACTTTTCGAGGAATGTGCGGGAAGTGCTTTGAGCGCGCTAGGTTAGGTACACAGACCGCAGGCCGCGCGCACACAGACACTCCCACACACTCACTCAGGGCTTGCGGCTCGCGTCACTGACGCGGTCCTGACCTGCCCCACCCTCCACGTGTGCGAGCGAGAGGGCACGGCACATCCGTCCTGCCGTCCTGGTGGCCTGCCGGCCTGGCGGGCCTGACCCTTGGTACGAGGGAGACACTCTGACACGTACGCGCCCACGCCTCGTTGGCGATCTGGCGACGGCGGTGATAAACCGGATGGGACCTCGCCGCCTTGCCGCCAGGCCGCCGCCAGGGCAGGCTAGGGTTACCAACTGATTACCGCGGTCGCTTGGCAGTGCAGTGCCATGGCAGTGCATTGCACAGCATTGCAGTGCGGCGCCACGTCCGAGCTCCGCGGTGACGAGTGGCAACCCAGTTCGGCGCCACGGACGGCCTCCTCGTCCTTCATTCACTCTCCCACTTCGGCAGCGCGTCCAGCTGTCTCTGTCTCTCTCGCACTCGCGGGGCGTGCGGCCAGGGTGCGAGAGAGACCGCCGAGTGGGCGTCCACGCATCGCGTGCGGGAGGAAAAAGGTGGAGAGACGGGCCTGGCGGCCTGGCGGCCTGGCGACCGGGCGGCGCGGTGTCGGCGTTAACCTTGGTGTGATCGAATGAGTGATCACACGAACACTCTTCGCTTGGCTCTCGCCAGCTCGCGCGTCTGCCCTCTCCCTCCCTCACACCGCTAAACACTCTTCGAAGAGTGTGCTCTCCGTTGTGCTGCGATGGGAGTCGTGCTGTCATTGGCTACACGTGTCCACCACACTCTCTGTCTGTCCACCGGTCTGTCCATCCGTCTGTCTGTCTCTCTTTCTCAGACAGACAGACAGACAGACAGACAGACAGACAGACAGACAGACACACACACACACACACACACACACACACAGACAGACAGACAGACAGACAGACAGACAGACAGACAGACAGGCAGACAGTTCGTCACGGTCGCGACTTCAGCATGTCGGTTTGGCGCCGGCTGAGGCGCGTCTAGTCCGTGCTGTGATTCAAAACAGTCGCCAGTCGCCGCGGCGATTCGCGGAAATGCGCTCCGCGCCGAGCGGCCGGAGAGAGCGAAAACTATTTGTTGATTCACGTCGTCGCTTGTAGGAATAAGATGATTTAGAAGTAAGCTCTTCGTTTTAATTGTCCCGTCGCTAAGCTTAGTTGAGGAAAAGTATCAGTTGGAGCAATAGTCCTATTTGTTCTTTACCGCTATGGCCCATCAAGTATAAGACCCTTTTAAAATGACACGGTAAAAACGGTTCCTGGTTTTCCCAGGAACTCCCTGGAAATCGCCTATGCCTTCACCATTGGCTTCCTGGGAAAACCAGGTTCCGTTTTTAACGTGGACTGTCAAAAGTTCGTTGACTGAACCAACCCACCTTTTTATATTCTCCACTTCAAACCACAACATAGTTGGAATGTATTTTTATTCCTGCGTCTCTGCGTGAGCGCCTTTGCGCGGCGTCTGAGCGTCGCCCCGCCCGCCGGCCCGGCCCGCGGATAAACTTAATAATTGGTACTTTAATCCGCCTAGCTTAGACGGGCCCCCGACCTTCCGGCGTCGGAGTCGTCGAGTCGATGGGGCGCATGGCGGCAGAGCGGCAGAGCGACTCCAGAAACTTGGAGGGAGGCCACTGCTCTCTCTCTCTCTCTCTCTCTCTCTCTCTCTCTCTCTCTCTCTCTCTCTCTCTCTCTCTCTCGCGGTAGGCGCCCCCCGGGGGTGCGAGAGAGACAGAGCGACGAGGCAGAAAGCACTGCGCGGCATCGCTCCGCTGGGCGCGAGTTATGACAAGGCCCGGCTCCGGGCGCCAAACGCGTCGCGCGCCAAAAAGTTTGAATTTGATTCTACTGCAGTGCGTCTGGTGGTCTGGCGGTCTGGCGCGGCCGGGCTGGCGCCGCGTGCGTTGCCATGGCGACGCGCCGTGCCTGACGTCTCTCTTTCTCTCTCGCACTCGCGGGGCGCGCCGTAGGCGTGCGAGAGAGACAGCGGCCGACTGGCGCCAGGCGGGCATGAATCACTGGCCTGCAGACGAAAAGAAAGACTTTTTGCCCGGTTTGCGCGATTTGGCGCGAAGCTGGCAAGGCGCCTCGGGCGAGGAGGACAACTCCGAACATGACTGTCCGCAAGTACACTGTGAAAAAGAAGTTCGGTCAATCGACTGGCATTATTGTTCTTCGTCCTTTTCGCTTAATCCGAAAGCGTTGGAGGTTCTAATATCGGTCCAGAGTGGTTTTCGGTTCGAGCGGCATGAGGCACATCGACGCATGGAGTCGTATGAAGTCGCCAGGCTTTCCAGTGCAGGTGCCCGAACAGTGTGCTGTTTGTTTTGTCCAGGCCATCTGGAATCGCTTCGTGCTCCACCGAGAAAGGTCCAAAGAGGAGTGCCAATGCTGAGCAGAAAAGTAGTTCCTGCCTCCTGTCTGATGTAGTAGTAGTACTTTCAGGTTTATCCGCTCCAAATTTCAGGGCCGTGATCCACAGAGGCGATGTTTGTGAGTGTTTGGCAGGTTCGCGCGGAAGCTTTCGCAAGGCCGTCTAGAACGCTGCGGTTCGATAGTAGAGTAGGAAAGAGCCCTCCAATTCCAGTTTGAATTGCAACGTCAGGTCGCGGCGGAGTGTCATGAATACACTTTCCATGCCAAAGCGACGCTTCTCTTTCGTTGGTCGTGAGCCCGTTTCAAACTGGGATTCGAAGCCAGGGAGACGATCAGTCCAAAAACTACGCTGTTGAGATTTGCTCAGTCCTGTTTCTTGAAGCCGCCTCTTACGCTCATTCATTTTAGTACCAGGAATCTATAGAAAAACTTAGGCACGAAGTAAACCCATTGGCTGGCCGAGCAGTTTAGCAATTAGTTTGGGATTGACAGCGTAGTTTGGGGAAAGACACTGTGGTTTTCACTGTGTTTTGTTGCCGGTGGCGTAGCAGACCCATGGCCACCCGCCAGCCGCTACAGCAGCGCGATAGAACCAGGGCAGGCGACAGGCACCAAGGGCTGCAGCACCCGGTAAAGACCAGGCTCTTGGCCGAGGCCCCTGGCCCAGGCCGAACTGGCCCAATCGCAGGCCAAGCCCGGCCTGGCCCGGCCCAACCGCTGGGAAATTTATTTACAGTTTTCTTCCTTATTTTTCATTTGAGGCTGTGCACTTCTTTCCTCTTCGAAACTTTCTGTAGCTGACTTGCATAGCTGACTCTTTTTTTCTCTCTCTTTGTGTCTTTTTCTCTCTCGAGGTTACAAGTACAGTTGTTCCGGTCGACCGCAATTCAGATTTTCTAAAGAGACAAAGGATTCATTTCTGTTCAAAGGGCTTTTTTATTTAAAAGAAATTGTATTAAATTATACGAATATAAATGATGCATAAATTCTAAATAACTTCGTTACAAAATAAAAATCCACAATTTTATTTACTGTCGAACTGATGCTTTGTTACAAGACGTGGCTTGAGTCAGAGGCGAAAAGAATCGCTACACTGTAAATCAATTTCGTGGCACACCAAGAGTTTTTTATTTTTTTGATAGCGGCTGCACTGCATGTAGATGGCCAGCTCACTTTCACTCACTCATCGAGAAATCAGCCCCCTTTCATTTTGAACTCAAGCTCGCTGCGAACACTGAAAATGCATCGTCATGACTTCGTGCCGTTTCAGGCCAAAAAAAATGGCATAACGACGTTCAAAGAATCGACGCGACTCAGCAGTCCCACCAATTTTTCGGCGTGACTTTTCAGTCACGCCCGCACTAAATTACAAGGTAGTTTTATGTGCATAAGCTTTGCACAAAATTATTCATGCGTTTTAAAATGCTCGAATGTGTGCGCCGCACTCGGTACGAAAGTGTGCGTTGTGCGTTTCACGCGCATGCTCAATTTTGTGCGCGAGAAAATGATGGACAAAAACTTACGTCGTAATTATTCACTTTTGCATGACTTTTCCGAAGAAACGCATTGAAGGCACCGATCCTCGTGGTACATTCACGCCAGATATCGATGGGTCGTGCCCATGTCGCATTTGGGCGTCACTTTCTTGTCACGTCGGCACTTGTTTTTTTTTTTGTGCCATAATTTGGCCATGTGTCGGACCATTCGACATTCAGGCGCCACTGTTAAAACGGAGATCCACCTTTTGCAGTGGAGTGCACTGTGTGGATGGTGCCGACTCCACGCGGGGCAGCACCACTGCAAACGCGGTGAACGCGGCGAAACGGGCGATACAAGGCAGTCAGCTGAGCCTGGCACTGGGAGGGGTAGGGCATAACACGGTAGGTTATCGACCCGGACCGCCCTGCAGGCTGCGTCGCTCTGTCTCTCTCCCACCGATGCGCCGTCCCGCGGGGGTGCGAGAGAGACGGGACGACGAAGCCCTCGTTCGGAACCAGACTGCGGCGGCCGGGCCGTGCGGGCCGTGCCGACGGGGATGGCCGTGCGGAGGGGGTCGCCACAAAAGACTGGGCCTAGGCCCGGCCGACAACACCCTGCCTCGCCCTGCCTCGCCCTGCCTCGCTTCGTCACGAATCTGCGGCCGTCCGCGAGCCTGCGGTCCAGGGCAGTCCTCGCTCTGTCTCTCTCGCACTCATGGGTCTTCCATTCGGGTGCGAGAGAGAGAGAGACCGTGCGGAATCAGTCCACTGGGCTGCAGGAGGAAGAGCCTCAAGACACGAAGCAGACGCCGAGTAGCCCAGCGAGCCCAGCACACACGCATCGAGGGGGGGGGGGGGGGGGGGGCAGAGACTGATGTGGTGACGCCACCGTCTCCATGGCGACAGCGCCACAGCATCCCTCGAGGACGAGGCACCGCCAGCACGCCAGCAGACTCATTCCGAGAGTCGTCTTCGTCGCTCTGTCTCTCTCGCACCCACACGGAACGCCCCACGAGTGTGAGAGGAGACGGGCGACTCTCGGAATCAGTCCGCAGCACATCGGGAAGCAGACGGAGAGGGGAGAGGGGGTCATTAAGAAGAAGCCAGCCGGGCCACGGCGCGGCGCGTCGCACTGACCGCACGCCGTCTCTCTCGCACTCACGGCGCGTTCCGGAGGCTGCCGCAGGAGTGCGAGAGAGACAGAGCGACGATGAGGGCACCAATGTTTTCGAACGCTTTTTCCTTCCCTTTCGGCCCTTCGGGCGCAGGATGGTGTTTTCCCCCGCTGCGGTAAACGCATTCCGGGCCCTGCTCCTCCGCGGTACTCCGCGCGGCGAGCCCTGCGCGGCCCTGCGAGGTGAACGCGCTGCCGCGACCCTACCCCCAGGCACCTCGGGCCGCCAGGCCCCAGGCAAGCAGGCCTCAGGCAGGCTAGCGCCCCGCACAGTGGGCCAGAAGACCGGCGGAGGCGGCCCAAACTCTCGAAGCGTTTTGAGCTCCAGAGTCGCTAAACAGGACTCGAACCGAACGTGCGGCCCCACCAATGGATTCCTCGTTCGGAGAGCAATCCATTGGTGGGGTCACACGTTCGGTTCGAGTCCCATTTAGCGGCTCTGGAGCTCAAAACGCGTCCGGGGTTTTGACCGCCTCCACCGGTCTTCTGGCCCACTGTGCCCCGCCCCGCTGGCCCCGCTGGTCCCACTCCATTCACGCACGCTGCCTCGCCGCCCCGTCCTTGGACCTTTTCCCTGCTATTCTTAGGGCGTGCTTGCATCGCTGCGTTCCGTTTCGGCCCTCGGAAGGGAGGAGGGGGAGGGGAGGGGAAGGGTGGCGGATCGACCCATCATGCCGCCTTCGCTATTAAAGGGGGCGAATTTGGTCCGGCGGGTTTGCTTCGCTTGGACGCGTGCCGCGGCGTGCCGTGAGCCTGCCAGCCCCGGCAGTGCAGTGGCGCCTCCCTCTTGGCCTTCTCCGTGATGGCATGGCGCGGCCGGTGCGGCCGGACCCACGCCTAAGCGTCCACTGTTAAAAGAGTGAAATATCGACCAACATTCTTGGCTTGGTTTCGGCACTCGTTCGGTCCACACCATGACGGCGGAGTCGAACCCACCTCGTTTCTCCAATTTCATTTTCCCAACAGTGTTCTCTGACTGCGGACAGTGGGCCAGCTGACTGGCCAAAATTCTAAACGCGTTTTGAGCTCCGGAGTCGCTAAACAGGACTCGAACCGAACGTGTGGCCCCGCCTATGGATTCCTCGTTAAGCGAGCAATCCATTGGTGGGGTCACACGTTCGGTTCGAGTGCCATTTAACGACGCTGGAGCTCAGAACCCATTCGGTATTTTGACCGCCTCCACCGGTCTTCTGGTCCACGTGCTCCGGTGTGACTTAGCCGACACTTAAACGCACTTCATACTCGCTTAAAGCATCCCGGCCCAATACGTGCGACAGTGGAGTGGCCCTCCATTCCGCTCTCACCCCTGCTTACTGACATCGCTCCACATCGCTCCACAAAGCGCATTAGATTAGCAATTTCACTTTACATCGTTTTTCAGCGCCTTCCTGCCTCCCGTGTATAGTCTGTTCATCCCGCATTTATAGCTGCGGACGAAACTGGAGAACATTTGTTGGCCTTTCAAACTCGAGGAAGGCTTTTAACACGTTCGCTGCGACATGATAGACGATCACGGTTTTTTTGTTGGTTATTTTTTTGTGTTTTTATTTTGCTTGCAGTGAACGTGTTAACAACCTCATTTCATATTTTTTGGTGTTTTTTTGTTCTCTTTTGTCCTTTTGTTTTTTGATGCGTCGAGCATCAAGCATGGAGAGCCTGAAAACTTTCAATTCGCTAGCAGCTGTACACTTCTTTATTTTTTGTGCAAAAGAGATAGAGAGATGGGGCGGACTGCTAATTCTGCGCGTTGGTTCTCAGGGCTCCGCCGACTCGAACTACTCCCAGCCTTCCTCGGATCTGTCGTTGGACGAGGAGAAGGAGAGCATCCGCAGGGAGAAGGAGAAGCAAGCACTGGGCCAACTGGAAAAGGCAAAGGTAAGTGCGAACCGCAAAGAGAAAAATATCCCCTTTTTGCCCGCATTTGTTGACGTCCCCGGGCAGAAACGAAGTGGCCAATGCTTTCCGATCGGAATCTGGGGCTGGAACCACGCTCCTGCATGTAAAGCAGCCCCCCCCCCTTCCAGAGTCAGGGCCATCCCATCCAGACACTTGTCACCCTCCTGCTAGTTGTGCCCCACTTCGCGTGGCCATGGCCCGCTTACTCCAGTTGGGCCAGGAGCAGGGCCTTGGACGGCCTTGGATGACGGCCTTGTCGGTGGACTCGTTGTCGTCGCTCTGTCTCTCTCACACCTGCAGGGGACGCCCCATGGGTGCGAGGGAGACAGAGCGACGAAAACGACTCTCGGAATGAGCCAGGGCAGGGCGCTCGGACCAGAGTTTGGACGAGTGGCTATAACGGCCGTGCGTTTGGCCCTGCCCCTGTGTGAGCTATGGCCGTGTGTGCCCATTTTGGAGTATTGAGGAGGAGGGTCGCGTAGGAGCGGCCACTCCACTGTAAAAAATATTGAGCCCAATTGACACTTTGGGAGTCGAAATTCAGCCAAATTCTAGCCGCTCGACTCGCCTTTTTGACAGTGTGACTGACTCTTTTTCCCCGTTGCAGTCCAAGCCGGTGGCGTTCGCCGTCCGCACCAATGTCAGCTACGACGGCGAGGTGGACGACGACTCCCCCGTGCACGGCAGCGCCATCTCCTTCGATGTGCGCGACTTCCTGCACATCAAGGTGAGCATTTCACAGTGGACTTGCCAGAAGGCCGGGGAAGGTGGCCAAAACTCTACACGCGTTTGCAGGTCCAAAGCCGCTAAACAGGACTTGAACCGAACGTGTTACCCCACCAATGGATTGCTCTCCGAACTTGGGAGTCCATCGGTGGGGTCGCACACGTTCAGTTTGAGTCCCATTTAGCGACTCTGGAGCTCAGAACGCGTCCAGAGTTTTGGCCGGCTGCGCCGGTCTGGCCGATGGTGGCGGGGCAGGAGCTTGAACTGATGGAACTGTCCGTCCGCAGGAGAAGTACGACAACAACTGGTGGATCGGGCGGCTGGTGCGTGAGAACGCACCCGTGGGCTTCATCCCGTCGCCGGTCAAGCTGGAGAACCTCCGGCAGCAGCAGTCGCAGGCCCGCTCCTCCAAGCTGTACGCGTCCAAGACCTCGTCCTCCTCCAACCTAGGTGAGCGATGGTGATGGAGGCGGGGTGGAGCGCCTGACCAGCAGCGGGTAGGCAGTCCCGTTACGCTCGCGTGGCGGCCGGGTTGCCTACCTCTGCGCGCCTGACCAGCAGCGGGTAGGCAGTCCCGTTACGCTCGCGTGGCGGCCGGGTTGCCTACCCCCTCTGCTCGCAGGCGCTCTAGGAGCGTCAGCGACAGGGGTTCAGGAAACGCCCCGTGACATGTAGACGGTTCCTCAACTGACTTAATTCGAGATTTGTATTTTCTCTCTTTGTATTTACTCCCACTGTTGGAACCCTTGCCAAGCTGGAAGCACCTTTGGAAAACCGTTTTCCATGTCACAAACCCAGTTGTTTTGTAAAAAAAAAGACCCTGCTCTAACTAACGCATACTCTTGAAAACCAAAATGTGTAAATATTTGTGTGTTGCTTTTTGCCTGTTAGTGACCACTGTATTTCCTCTGTAATTTTAGCCCAGTCCGAAAGGAGTGTCCAAAAGTTGTAGTCACAAATTTTTCCGCGACGAATAATCCGTCGCGGCGGTAGGCCGTTTGGCCATCCTTTCCATTCCCCGCTGGCTGCTACCCCGTCCCTTGACTTGGTGCTACCTGTGCTACCTGTATACAGCTCTCGTGTGCCTTTTGCCGCCGCCACTCTCCCTCGGCCCCGGCCGCGCACTCTGGACCGCTTTAATCCTTTTTTTTTGCACGTTCAGTTGGTGCCCTTCCCGAAACGCATGCGTGGTCCAGAGTGTGCCAGGGACGGGCGGAGTGTTGGCAAGGCATCGCCACCCAACGCACCGCATGACGTCACACACGGCGACCAAACCGGCGAATAACACGCAGGGAGCCGCCGACTCAAACTCTCGATGTCGGCGCCCTCGCCTCGTCAACAGTGCCCGCTGCTAACTCGGTTTCCAAATCGAATATGTCCCTGTGCATGACGCTTGGAACGCTCACTGTTGACGGTGTGGGCTGCCAATGGGTGGAGTCGGGCGGTGATGTGCGCGGTTTGGTCGCTGTCCGGAAAAGAGTCTTTCTTGACCGAGTGTGCGAGTGCGGATGGCGCTGCCGGCGGTGTGCGCGGAGAAGCGCGTGTTGAAGGTCTGTGTTGTGGTTTTAGTGGGGATGGGTGGCGCAGGCGAGGAGAACGACAGCCTGAACCGCGGCACCGGCCCCGCCTCCCTCACCACGCCGCCCACCAAGGAGAAGCGCAAGCCCTTCTTCAAGAAGCAGGAGGCCACCACGCCCTACGACGTGGTGCCCTCCATGCGGCCCGTCGTGCTGGTGGGGCCCTCCCTCAAGGGCTACGAGGTGACGGACATGATGCAGAAGGCGCTCTTCGACTTCCTCAAGCACCGCTTTGAGGGCAGGTAAGTTGAGCTAGCCAGTGTCCACCAAGCGAAAACAAGAGAAAAACGTAAAATTCGGTTCATTTGCCGCTCTGACACTGCTGTTGCTGTCCCCAGGATCATCATCACGAGGGTCATGGCGGACATCTCGCTGGCCAAGCGGTCGCTGCTCAACAACCCCTCCAAGAGGGCCATCATGGAGCGGTCCAACTCGCGCAGCAACTGCCTGGCCGAGGTGCAGGCCGAGATCGAGCGCATCTTCGAGCTGGCGCGGACGCTGCAGCTGGTGGTGCTGGACTGCGACACCATCAACCACCCGTCGCAGCTGGCCAAGACCTCCCTCGCGCCCACCGTCGTGTACCTCAAGATCTCCTCGCCGAAGGTTGGTATTCTCACTCCGCGTGCCGTGGGTGCGAGAGAGACAGAGCGACAAGCCGGCTGCGCTAACGCTCCTTCCCCCACCAGGTGCTGCAGCGCCTCATCAAGTCCAGGGGCAAGTCGCAGGCGCGCCACCTCAACGTGCAGATGGTGGCGGCCGAGAAGCTGGCGCAGTGCCCCGCCGACATGTTCGACGTGGTGCTGGACGAGAACCAGCTGGAGGACGCCTGCGAGCACGTGGCCGAGTACCTGGACACGTACTGGCGCGCCACGCACCCGCCGGCGCCGACCCCGCAGACGCAGCCGCCGCCGCCGCACATCGCCAGGCCCATCTCGTCGCACCACTCGGTGCCGGGCCACGCGCCGGACCTGCACCACAACATGCGCTCGCACCTCAACGCCACACCGCCAGGTGCGTTAGCCGCGCGGCTATAGGCCCACGTCGCGGAGTGCAGGGTCGCGGGTTCGACGCCCGCCGACGGCGTTCTCGTATACTTGGTTTTGAGGAAGGGCGGTCGCCGACCGAAGGGCGGGCGGTCCGGGTGTGTAGCAGTGTAGTGTCTTCGCTGCGGACGATGCCATCAAGTGTGTTGTTCTGTTCGACAGGCTCGCACCACGACGCGTACGGGTATCCACACGAGTACAGAGGTACGGCGTCGCTGGCGCCTCGCTGGCGCCTCCTGGCGCTTCGCGTGTAGCGACGCTAGCGCCATCTGGCGCCTAGATTTGCATGCTGTCGGCCTTCCGAGGATTCGCGCCTCTTAAGACATCCTAGCAACTCTTTGAACTTTAAATCAGAGCCCATCGTTACTCATCAGTACCGTAGTTAGGCACAACGCCCACCTTGTCAGCGCAAAGTGGCATGGGGAGCAAAAGCATGCATTCAAGGCATTTGTATTTGGACCACCCAGTGCATTCCTTTTCCGTATTGCCACCAGAGTACGTTGGCCTTTTACTTCGAAAATTACCACAAGAGTATCGTATTGTTTATTTCCTCTCACCTAGCAGTAGTGCTGAAACCTTGACCAATTGTTACTGTATTTTCTTTAGACGGCTGTGGGGCTTGCTGACACTCCGGTTAATACTTTCCCTCCACAGATTGCCCCGTCTGGTTTAGGCTGGCGAGCGTAGCAGAGCGTAGTTCTGTATTCCGTGCTTCCTATTGGCTGCCCCCTCACTCCCGGAAACAGCTGAACGGGCTTCGCAGCTTCGCGCGGCGAGACGTAAAACTCGGATCGAAACTTACTTTGTTCTGTTGGCCGCAGTTGTGGCGGCCACTGGCAAGGTCCGTGAGGGAGCCGGCCTGGCTGGTCTGTGATTGCCCCAAACCCCCTAACTGCCCGTTGGTCGGCCCGTTGATCGGGACGCGGGACGGCCCTGTCGACTTCCGGTGGGTTCTCCCAGCCTGTAAGTAGAGGTTTGGCACTGCACGGCACGGGGCAGCGCCGTGGGGCCGCTGGGGCCGCTGGGGCCGCTGGGGCACGCCAGTCGTTCAGCATGCCGGCCGGGCCGTGTTCAAAACGCTGTGGCGGACGCTTGTTGGGGTTGCTGACGAAGAATGACAGACGTGGCGACGAGCTTTGAGTGCAGCGTGATGGTGCCCCCCCCCCTCCCCCAGTCCCGCGCTTTGGTGAGGGTATTGCGGTAGCAGTAGACTAGTCATAGTGCGTGCTGATGGTTTTTGCTGGGTTTGCATGGTCTTGACATTCCGAACCCCGGAGCCCCGGATGGAGCGAGGACCAGGTCTGCCGTCCCCACCGCATGCTCCTCGCTTCCCTCATCGTGATCCTGGTCGAGGCGACCCCGCCACCCGCGTGGCGGCATGGTGGCGGCCACCACGACCCCGGCGTGGCGACTGACGGCGTGCTTTGTTGTGCAGGTTCGGTGTACGGCCACGGCAGCGGGTCCGCGCCGCACCGGACGCGCTCGCGCCTGGAGCGCGACCACTCGGCCGAGTACGACGACTACAGCGACCGGGAGATGCGCGAGCGGGAGCGCGACCTGCGGGACCGGGACCTCCGGGAGCGCGACCTCCGGGAGCGGGACCTCCGGGAGCGAGACCTCCGGGAGCGGGATCTCCGGGAGCGAGACCTCCGGGAGCGGGACGTCCGTGACGGCGGCGTGCCCATGTACCACAACCAGCAGCCGCTGGTCGGCGGCGGCCACCACTACGGCGGCAGCCACCACATGGGGATGGGACACCACAGCCAGGACCACCGGGGCCACCCGCCACCCCGAGGGCCACCCGACCACCGCCACCACCAGGACTACGACGACGACTACCGCGGACACCGTGCGTCGTCGAGGCGCGCACTCAACGCGCTGTAGTGCCAGTGCCGGCCTGTCGGACATGCGCACCGCGCGGTGCGGACATGATAGACCTTTTCGAGGACCAACAGGACCAGACTGCTTCCCCGAAGCACTGCGAAGCACACTGCCGGGCTGGTGCCCAGTGGCGTGGCGGCCGTGGTGAACTACCACCACTAGTGATGACCAGGACAGGAATCTGTTTCTTCCTTTTCCGTAATGCGCGCGGCAGATCCACCTCCTCTCTCGTTTCCTTTTTCATTAAGTAATTAATTGTTGCATTGTTCCTATTATTCCTGTTATTTTTGTACTGAGCTGGCTGGCGTGCTGGGCGAGGCCGTGGCGGCCCGGCGCTGCGTACTGCTCCCCCCGGCCTCAGCCGGCGGCCGGGTCGCCCGGTCCAGTCCGGCCTCAGCCGGAAGGCGTGGCAGCCTCACAACACCAGAGAGCTGGACGAGACGAAGGAGTTGATATCGACTTTGTATTTTCATTGTATGTTATTTCCCGGGTCATGTTACTGACTGTAAATTTATTCTACTGCCCGGAGACTGAAGCCGCCGCGTACGGTATGTCATTTTGCCTCCCTGACTTAATACTTTTGATGGCAGATTGTGTTTTCAAACGTTTTAATTTTGCGTCCGCCGTCCTGGGAGGTGGGAACAGAAATACAGTGATTCGCAAGAAATTTGGCTGGGTCGTTTTTCTTGCCATTCAATGGATTTCGATTTTCCCCAACCGAAGATTCAGGGACTTGGTCCTCTGCGTGATGGACTTCTGTTGTGTATGAAAATTGGTACAAAGTGGTGTGGCATGCTCATGTGCATGCACCTGCGTTCTGGGAATGACAGAGGAAGTATTCTCCAATCAAAATAGTGAGAAAGTGTTCATGAATTTTCGTTTCATTTTCATGTTGCTTCATATTTTTAAATACTTTGCTGTGCATCTCCTGGCCCCTAGGGTGAAAATGAATTTTTAGATATACTGATCCATGCCTCCAGCTCACTGCAAGGTCTTGGCTGCATAAATTTCAATTGTAGTGCAAGATTTTGTCACTTATTAAAAAATCACATTATTATTATTGCAAGATAGTTATTCCCTGTCGTAATGATCAGCTTCTGTGATGAACCATTATTGTCATGAAAACATTTTTTAATACATTATGTTGATTGCTTAGGTTTGATTGGACTTTTTTAGCCAATAATAAGTTAGGCTTAGCTATCCATCAGCCATTGGAGTGTAATGAATGGTGGTGAGTGTGTATTTGTAGCCCCTGTAGGTATTTGCAGCCAGACCTTATAATTTTGGAGCAGTGCTGGAGAAGACAAGCCCTCACTACAGATTATTCCATTACTCTAGGCAATAGTAGTAGAAATTTCAGACTCAAACCTCCTTGATTAACTCAAAAGCACACTGCAAAGTGAGCTGCCTCATTTACCTGGATTGAATCTTAAAAAATTTAATTAATGCACTCTTGACCAATCAAGAATTATATTAATAATGTTCAGCATAAAGCATTTGAGCCGTCTCTTTTACATCTAGAAACTATTATTTAGTAGTTAGGTATTTTACATTGAACCAATGGCGTTACTAAAGTTGTAAAGTGAACCGAACTTTTGATGATAAGTGCGCTCTGTTGCCCTTGGGGTTTATATTAAATGTAGGATGTATTATTCCTTGCTTCCCAGAAGTGTAACAATTTCAATACTTTCATACTTAATTTTTATACAAGGAATAAATGTATGCCAGCAATGCCCAGGTGTCGTATAAGGCGAGCAATTTTATTGGATACAGACAAGACAAGTTATGGCGGTAAGTGAAAGGATGTCAACATAAATACTTTGTTTTATGTATTGCACAACAAATATTTTGCACAATTAAAGACTTGAAAAAAGTACTACTAATTTACATCTAAATTCATTTTTCACTAGTGTAACTAAACTAAGTACGTTTTTTGCAATGGAATTGACTTTTCGTGTACTAGGAATAGGTTTATAAAGTATAAATGGTGACGACCCTGCACTTTTTGCTGCCATGTCTATGATTCTGTCTCCAATTTAGCTTGGTCAGAAGCTTGCTGGCTGTACATCAACACTCTTCCCCGTTCCTGCCAACACCCAGGAAACAAGGGGGTAAACTGACAAGGGATGCCACGACAGATAAATGGCACACTTCTTCATGAGAATAATCAAAGATTCATCCATTTTCCACATTCAGAGGTTGTGGTCAGGGTAGCAGATTTCTGCAAGGGTCACAACATACTATGTTTTTATTGGAGACAAGTGATTGTTGTGTTAAGTATAAACATGAACACAATTTGTTCCTGAGGGTAAATTTGGTGTAGTATTACGCAAGTTCGGTGTGTTCCCTTGCGCTTGATCAAGCCAACACTTACGTACGTTTAAGAGGAAATACTATACAAATATTTTGTATGTATTCTTAGCTTTCGATCTGTCCCTTGTAAGTTAATTATTTAAGGGAAGACAACTGCTTGGTGTATGTAAGTTATTGTTGAATGTTTTTGTGTCATATGTTAAGATTGAGGCAAAGCAGAGAAGTAAAGAGGGAAAATTACCGGAAAGGCTTCTTAAAATCTAATGGGATGTATCAATGTCTAAATATGGCATAATTTGTAGTCCTGATGTCCCTTTGGCCTCTTCCCCAACACTACTGTGTACATTGTGATAAAATTAGTTGTTTTTGGAAATTATTACTATTTTTTTTTTCAATTTGTTTCCTTTTGGTGAGGCTGGTATTGATGTAATACGCGAGAACCCATAATTTGTGGGTTCTCATGCCTAACCCACTCCCCCCCCTCCAAATCCCTTTCCTACCGCCCACTGCATGGTTGTACATACTCATCTAAGAGAAAGCAGAAAAAAAAACTTTTTATCTACTCATGTGACATATGTCATTTCTTTCTCCTCGTCCTTTACACTCACCTCAACACACCTGCCAGAGGGGTGGCCTACCCACACGGCGCCAATGAAGCAAGCAGCCCAATCAACAAGCAATGCATGCACTCGTGCCATACCTAGAGGGACTTACACAGGCACGCTAATTGCCCAAACTAACGAGTTTGGCACTGCAGCGACTATACCAACAAACTCGGAGCTATAGGCTGCTGCTGGAAAAACGAAGCCATTCACTACCAACCCCGTTGAAAAATACACTAAAAATTCGAACAGTTGCCTCGGCCACGATGGATGGAACATCATCAGCTAATTAAAGCCGACAACCCTTTTTCAAAACTAGAGAATGTGAGAGATTAAAAGCCCTTATGGCCCGGAGGTGACTGATAGCGATGGCCACTCGCGAGTTTGTGGAAAGCGAGGTGCAAAAACATTGCAGGTGGCGCCGGGTCTACTTCTGTAGCGATTAGTGACAAACAAGCGACTTACAATATCAGCAATAAATGGTCATATACGTTCACACAGCCCGCGGGCTGGCTGGCCTTATCAGCGCGTCTGTCTCTGTCGCTCTCACCACACGCCACAGCGAAGCGCGCGAAGCATGGGCGAGGCGACACGTGCCGGTGTATTTCGCTTTCCGCGCTGTCTTCGTTGAGTCGCACCCACCGAGTAGTAAGCAGCCGACAGCTGGTGTGTGGCGAGGCCGCGCTCCGAAGCCCCTGCAGCCCCTGCACGTCGCCGCCGTCAACGTCGCCATGGCTCCCACCCAGCAGCAGCAGACTCTGGAGCGCTTCGTGGAGACGGGCAAGAAGGTCATCGGCGCGGGCCTCAACTACAAGTGAGACTTGGCCGTGCGAAAGTGCGAACCGGTTCCGGTGTGCCTCGCGCGGTCTTCCTGGACTCGCTGGTCTTCCCTCCCACAGGTCGTTCGCGGCGAAGGAGAAGCTGCCTCACCCGGTGGCGCCGGTCGTCTTCCTGAAAGCCACGTCGTCGTACCTGAAGGCGGGCCGACCCCTGCAGGTATCTCGGCCGATCTCGGCCACTGTGTGACTGTGTCGCCTCGCCATCACCGCCTTCCGGGCCCTCCGCGACGTGTACATCGCTGCCTCTGTCAAGGTGCCGGCCGGTGACCAGGTCAACGCGGAGGTGGAGCTAGGCGTCGTCATCGGCCGCACTTGCTCGCGCGTCAGCGAGCAGGACGCCCCGGACTTCGTGGGGGGCTACTGCCTGGCGCTGGACATGACCAACATCACCCTCTTGGTAATGCTCAACGCCAGCCGCTGCAGACTGATTCCGAGAGTCGTTTTCGTCGCTTTGTCTCGCACCTGTACCGTGAGTGCGTGAGAGACACAGCGAGGACTGTCGTGTTCTAGAACAAGTTGAGGGCGTCCTCCGGGCCGTGGGCCCTCGCCAAGGCCTTCGACTCGGCGTGCCCCGTCAGCGACTTCATCCCCAAGGACAAGCTGCCCACCCCGCAGATGACGCGCATCTGGATGAAGGTCAACGGCGAGCTCAAGCAGGTTGGTTCGGTTCGTTAAATTCGTGCGGCACGTTCTCGACTGTCTCTCAACCTCTGCCTCCCAACCGCAGGACGAGAGCACGAGCGACATGATCTTCCCCATCGCGCACCTGGTGTCGTACATCTCGCACTACATGACCCTGGAGCCGGGTGACGTCATCCTGACGGGGACGCCGGCGGGCCCCTGCCCCCTGCGACCGGGCGACGCGGTGGAGTGCGGCCTGGACAGCGTGCACTGTGCCATGCAGCTCAACTTCAACGTCGAGGCAGCGCCATCAGCGCCTTGAGGGAATACTACCCCAATTTGGAACCGATTTTGTATTTTTTGCAGTGGCGCTGGCCTCGTGATAATGCGGTGAACGCTGTCAGAGAAAGGCAAATTTCTTCACACTGTTGTGCTAGTGTGAAACTTCACACTGTTGTGCTAGTGTGAAATAAATCCACAAATTTTTATGATCCCGTGTCTTTGTGTTTGTGCCGTACCCACGATTCTTTGGTTTTTTTTAAATCTCAACTTGAGAAGTCATTTTTAGCATTGTAGAAGAAGTGTCGCGGCCGAGCCATTTCGCGGATTTCTGTAAGCGCAGTTATCTCTCTCGGAATTGCCAAGGGCGCGTACTCAACTTACTTGCAAAAAAATGGAGAGGAGTATTTCAAATGTGTGGTCACGAAGTCACGACTCGTCGCATGTCGTGGTCGATAGCCAACCTCAGCCGATTTCGGAGGTACCGTGCGACGATTTTTGGAAAGCGGTGCGGATCATGAACTAAAACACGAGAATCGCCACATCAATTCGGTCGCTAGAAACCATTCGACGATCGACTTTACGGTGCGTCGGCGTAGCTTGCCGTGTTTCTTTGGATTGCCTTAGGTTGGCTAATCTGCGAGCGACGGGGCTCCACCGACCGGTCTCTCCGGAAGCCAGTCTGGCCACACGCCAGTCTGCCAACGCGAGATCGCCGATTCTCTTTTCAAGTCAAAAAGGTTTGAACAAAGACAGGCCCTGCTACTCGCCCGTCACCATGAAGCATCGTTCGTGGCTCGGTCCTGATGCCTATTTCCACACGACCACTTCTGCGAAATTGCTTCTCAAGCTTGTTTTCGTTTCCATGTTGGCAGTAGAACTGCCTGTTCTTTTCCCTCTCTCTCACTCACGTGCGAGTCCCGACTCGCCGTCGCCGTCCCCCTCCCGTCTCCCTCCCCCCACCCCGCGTCCCCCCCGACCTCCCCGACCCAGTCCCAAGTCCCAGTCCCAGTTCGTGTCGGTGTGTCGGCCAGCGAGAGCGAGAGGTGAGGTGGAGTCGGAGAGTTTTGTTTTGCTGCCTGCTTGCTGGCTGCGGCTGGTGTGACGGGTCTGGCCGGCCAGTGTGGAGCTCACGGAGGGTCCCCCAACTATTTCTGGAAGAACTTCACCAATCGCGGACTTATTTCTCGGCGCCTGGCTTGACCGTGAGTCTCGGTACGTATCAAGAAGTTCGTACTGTTCCATATGCATCATTCCTTGGGTCGATGCATTGCTGTTTCCTTATCGGTCACGTTAGCTTTTCTTTTTGTTTTCGTAATTGTTCCTGTACTGCGAGTCACCTGTGTTACCTGACTATTTATGTCCCCTCCCCCTTATGTTTTCGCTTTTACATTTGTTTTTGGCTCTCCATTTTCACACATGCAACTGGTTATAGGGTTATGGTTGGGGCTGTGCTTTTGCCTGTGGCCTTGCTTTCTTATGGCACAGTAGTTTTAACCATGAATCCTGCATTAAACTTGACTACTGCTTGAGACCGGCAATGGTCCCTCTCGGGTTCCATTAAAAATAATTGTGCGTGTGGGGATGCGGGCTTCTGCTTTGGGCAGGCTGATGTAATGGTCGGCTTCTGCTACAGCCAATCCCAGTCAGCCTAGTCTACCCGGCGCACTCGGCCGCAGGAGAGAGCGCGCTCAGATGTTTCATTTTCTGTCGGCAGCAAACATGGCTTCCAACGCCGATATCATGGACATCCTACACTGTCCCTTGTGTATCGAGAAGTACGACTTGAGTGAGCGGAAGCCCAAAATTCTTGACTGTGGACACACCAACTGCTTGGATTGCCTGTCGAAGTTCGTGAAGAAATCTGGCCGCACATGCCCTCAGTGCCGACAGGTAAGAGAGAGAAAGAGAGACGTGAGTGCATGGTGTATTCCCCGGGCGTGGCCGGGCGTCACGGCACGGCACACTGAGCGCTTGGCGGTCGGTTCGTGTTTGTTTTCCCTGCGATAATGTCCAAAGCCAGCTGATACAGCAGACCGCGGACGCCGACTCGTCGACGCCGGCGTCGCCCCTGCCCCTCCCCCCCCCTTTCGCTGCAAAAGTGACGTGGTCTTCCCCCTCCCCTCCCCTCGTCGCACGACTGCGTTGTCGGCACATAACTTGGACTCTGTACAGTACTGCAAACTCTTGAAAGGAACTCTCTAAAGACGCAAGGATGCACCCATGCAGCACCAAAAAAAAAGTCACGGCACCGCAAGTGTATTTGTTCTTTCTCAGCCGTTTGCCGAGGCACCATTTTTCATCAAGGACAACTACCTGCTCTGCCCTTATCTCGAGGAGGGCCCCTCCAGCTCCAGCAGTGGCAGCAGCACTCCCTCCTCCGTCATTTCGCAGAGGTACGGGCATGGTTTAGTTTTCGGAACTGTCTGCGGGTCGTTTTCCGTCGCTCCGTCTCTCTCGCACCAATGCGGGATGCCTCATGAGTGTGAGAGAGACGGCGGCGAAAACGACCCCCGGCCCGCGGGGAATACCCGGGGAATAGGCTGGGCTTTGACGCCGTGCCGTGCCCTGCGCTGCCCTGCCGCAGGTTCTACTGCAAGCGCTGCGAGCGCGACGCCACAGACACCTGCCTGATGCTGAACCACGACGTCGGCGACAAGGCCAGCGTGGTGCTGCAGCGCGCGCAGGAGGCCAAGCTGCAGGCCAAGAACCAGTTCGCGCGCGAGGCCGCCATGCTCAAGGACCTGGCCGCCACCCTGGAGAGCGTCAAGACGGCCGTGGTCAACAAGGGCGGCCTCACGTCGCGCCTGCACCGCGAGCTGGAGGAGGTCAAGACCCAGACCGGGGTGCTGGACAAGGTACGGGGCTGCGGAGGGAGAGAGAGGGAAGGCGACGCGACGGCCTGACTGAGGTGTTTCTGTCCCGCCCCGCAGACGACGCAGCTCGTGGAGAACGTGCCGGGGACGGCGTTCCAGGACAACGAGGACATCCCGCGCGCCCTGGACCACTTCCTGCAGGAGAACAGCGTGCGCCTGTTCGCGCTGGAGGAGAAGAAGCGCATGCTGGACATGGCCAAGAAGTGCACGGTGACGGTGTCGTCCGACGAGCCGGGGGTCTCCTGGGGGGGCAGGTTGTCCCTGGACGAGAAGAGTCCACCCGAGGAGCGCGTCCTCTTCTACCTCATTTACCTCCAGCTGTTGAACCAGCAGACTTCTCACATGCAGGCTTCAGCGCAACCTGTAAGTCGTATCCCTATTTTCGAAAATTTAATTGGTTGTGGTGTAGTAACTCCTGGTTTATGTTTCAGTCCGTGGATGTCAATGGATTTTCTCCCAGTGCACCTCCAATGGGAGACGGCAAAGGAGACAGGCAGTCCAACTGGGCGACAAAGCCTGTCGATGAAGCATCTCTGGAAGACCTCATATCGAATGTGAAAAAGTGTGTGTTAGAGGGCAATGTTCCAGATGTGAAAAGGGGTATTGATGATGAAGATGATGATGACGACGATTCAGGTTTGTACCTCAATTCTGTTCAAATGACCTTATTGAGGCTAAAAAAGCAGTAAATTGTGAACAAGACGTGTGCCCTGTTTCAGATGGAAGTGTCTCTGTAGTTTCTGATGCTGCCACAATTCCTGAAATATGCAAAGTATCCAAGAAAGTGTTTGTAGGAAAAATACCATCATTTGCCAAACCACAGGATATAAAGGTAAACAAAAGTCTCTGTCATTCAATTTTGGTTTGTTCCCAGTATTTATATGTTTTTTAACTTTTATTTCATTGTGTTGGTCATAGTGATTCTGTATGTGACAAATAAAATTTGTCTAAATTATTTGTGCAGGATCTCTTCTCTCAGTTTGGTAAGATTCACTATGTCCGATTCTTATCCAAGAACAAGCAAAGGAAGGGAAAAGGTTCAGCTGCTCCGGCTCCTGCACCAGCTCAGGGATCAAAACAAACAATATGTGCATTTGTATATGTCCCTGACGAATTCACAGTTGAAAATATTTTGAGGAATAGGGTAATTACCAAACATGGAATTATTGCAGCCAATGCTTTAATGTACATTCAACCAGGTCTTGATTTGACTTCTGCTTTTGCCCCCAGCCAATTGTTTATCGTAAGAAAGGGGAAATGAAAGGATACTTACTTAATGTTCAAGAGGAGAGGGGCCAAAAGCGTGAAGACAAAGCTGAGGCTAAACGACAACGTCGTCAGAGAAAGAATGACAAGAAAAATCCACCTGGTCAATCAGGTGGACCTAGTCGACTGGAGTCATCCAATCGTAAGTGTTTTACTTTGGAAGCTGACTGGGCTACCCTTTTTTTCCTGGAATGCAATAATTAATTTTTATTCTTGTTTATGATAAAGGATCTGAGAGTGTTGATGATATGGATGCCCCCAAGAGGGTCTTCGTCAATCAAGTACCGATTGATGTGACTGAGAAGCAGCTACAAGTATGTAATATTTTATACCTGATTTATACGTTAACATACCTTAAAATAGATTAACGTTATTTGAATATTTCTTCAGGATCTATTTTCAACATTTGGCCAAGTTACTAACGTCTCAAAGCGCCGCCATGGTGTGGGTCACAAGTGCATGGCATTTGTCACTTTTAAAGATGAAAAGTCGGTTGGAAGGGTGCTGTCACAAAGGGTAAGCTTAAGATTTGTCTGGTTTGAGATGCATGTGTTACCTCCTCACTTCGGCTTTGCCTAAATAATTTTTTTTCTTCAGCCTGTGAAGTATTATGGAGAAGGCTTTCCTGATGGCTTTGATTTGCAAGTGCGAGAATTCCGAAGTATGAAAGCGGCCCCTGCAACACTGAACTCTCCTGGATTCAGTAATATAACTGACACAATGGTGGCAGCTGCTGCAGCTACATCTGCTGCTGCGTCTGCCGCACAGATGCTCTCTGCTCTTCACATTCAGCAAAATGCCTCTTTAAGGTCAATGCTACCATCAAATCCTATCAAACCGCCAGCTATACCTCCTAGGTCACTCGTGCCAGCTCCTTTAAGGCCTCTCATGCAACCCCAGCAGAACCCGAAGCAACCACCACAGCAGCAGAACCAGAAACAAGTACCACAGAACCAGAAACAAGCGGCACAGCAACAGAACCAGAAACCAACACCACTGCTTCAGAACCAGAATCAACCACTCCAGCAACAGAATCTGAGGCAAATGTCACAGCAAAACCAGAAGCAAATACCACAGCAACAGAACCAGCGGCAAATGACACAGCAACAGAACCAGAGACCACAGACACCCCTCTATCCAAACATTAACATTCCAGCCTCACCTCAACAACAGTACCAACAACCAATCCCCCAACAACAGAACCAAAACCGACAAAAACCAAAGAATTCTAAAAATGCAGAAGATAATAATTGCAGCGTCATGTAGTTGTTTTGGTATGTGGATTGGGGCTTTTTGTTCTTTGTTTCTAGCTCATTTTTAAGTATCAGGTTCTTTGACTAATTTAAGTTGCACAAGTTAAGATATTTTACATATTCCGCATTTTTATTATGACTGTTGCTCTACCTCTCAACTTGTGTGTTGTGAATATTTTCTGCTCTATGGAGGGTCGTGTTTGCAGTAGAGATATTTTGTCTATGACGTTTCCAAGTCATTCTGTAATGAATATGCATACCATTATATTTGCATATTTAGAGCAGGGTGGTGAAACATTTTGGCTATGTTACTTATTATTCCTATGGTTTGAAGCTGTTTAAAAGTTCTGCAAAGGCTTACTTAAAATGCTACAAAATCTGAACTAGAGGATTTTTATTTGCATTTGCCTTGGGTATTATTATTATGCAGCTGATACCGGAATGTAACTGCCTATTCTTATGGTTGTAGAGTGATATAAGTAAGTCACGATGTGCAGTCACCAACTTGAAATAATTTGTCGTTTATGATTTCAAGTTTTTCTTGGTGATGTTATGTTTATCAGGGTTGTTTGTACACCTATAAAGGTGTACCTGGCTGATAAAATTGAAAGATGGTGAAAATAGCACACCAACAGTAAACTAAGTCAGCATGTGTTAGTTTTAGGTATCAAACTGTGTGTCAGGTTCAGAAGCTATGTCTTTTCCATATGGTTTTTAATGCTAATAGACTATTGACAATGTAATCCATTACACTTGAAATTTTCTTTCTTTTGTGTTGGTTTTACAGCTGTAAATTGGACACATCATTATTAATATGAAAATCTTGTACAGTCCTATGAAACGAATTAGGCTCTTACTTACATAGAGGTTGAGATCCTATGGAAACTGTGGTATTCAATGTATTTAAGTCCCGAAGAACAGACATGTCAAATGCTAGAGCAGCCATGCGTTGAAATAATTCATGAACTCCATCTCCTGTGCGAGAGGAGACTGCCCAATATTCTGCCCCAAGTTGTTTTGCAAGGCATGCGGCTTTCTCTTCTACATGTTTGTAAGCTGATGAGGACTGAATGGATAAGAAATATCAACAGGAGTATTAGGAGAAAGTCCACCTCTTCTTGTTTCAAACCAATATACCCAAATGGTTTTAACTCACAAGAAGGTCACGCTTTGTGCCTATTAAAAAAATGATTGGCTGTAATGTGTTGCATGCTAGAGCTTCTTCCAACCATTGTGCACAATGGGACAATGAGTACATGTTCGATAGGTCAAATAGCACTGCAACAACTGGACACACAGTAGACATTAAGATATATTAGTAGTGTCATTAGTTTTAAACTCAGTACTTACAAATTTAATTTTAATTTTACCTTGTGCTCCACGGTAGTACGAACTTGCTATGCACTTGAAACGTTCTTGGCCTGCTGTATCCCATCTATGAGTACATGTATCATAATCCAAGGAAAAATAAAAATATCAGTTTTCTTGAAAAATTTTCTTAAGAAATCCTGTGAGCTAGTAGATATGAGAGACATGCTTACATTTGAAGATTAAATGGAATTTTAATAATATCAAAACGTTCAACTTCAAAGTCAACTCCAATTGTAGCCTTGTAATTCCTATCAAAGACTTTATGACAGTACCTGAAATCAATTTTGAGAGATGAATTCTTTAAATTTCAAGCTAGAGCTTACGATCATGGGTAACACCTACCTGTTAACAAGGCTCGTCTTCCCAACAGCAACATCACCTAAAAAAATTGCTTTAGAAATTTTTAGGCCAGACAGTGGTTGCCTTGGGGATGAACAGACCTCTCGTACAGCAGATGAAAAGTCATGTTGTCTGTATGGGGTGAACTGGCGACTAAATGGGGGAGGAAACCTATCTATGCAACGATCTTTGCAAGCTTGATTCTGCATCAATTTCAACACAGCTGAGCGCGACTCCAACATCTTCTTGAAAATGAGCAACCGAGTCACAGAGACAACAGTGAAGCAAAACAGCAGTAAAGAGCTTTCAGATATTTTTTTGACAGTCTGTATTATGAATTAACAGCAAAGTTACCAAGCGGCGTCGAGGAGTAAACAAATTTGAAGGGTCCGCGGAAGTCAACGTAGTATGAGGAATTCATCCGTTCTTTTTTAAACTTGCCATGACGTTCTGAATTTTTTCGGACTAATTGTATCGTTTTAAAAATATTTCCCTAATAACAGCTGAAGAAAGGTAATATTTTTACAATCTACATGAATTTTCATTCCTCGGAAACTTTGGAAACAATTTACATTGGGAGGTTCAGAATTTCTCATACTAGCTTGACCCGTTGCTTAGCAACAGAAAACACCTCAGCCCCTTCCGCCCCTCCCTTCCCCACCTTCCCCTAAGGTGGGTACCATGGGTACCAGAGATACCAGTACCAACCTCTCAAATAAAATGTGAAACATGAAAAAAAATAGATATTTTATTCAAATTTCATCATCATTCAAACAATGTGCACCAATGGCAGACAAGTCATTTACTGTTAGTCATGGGTGTAGAACTAACTAACACCCACCACTTAATTAATGATCAGGAACAAAAGAGTTTCATCCACATGTAAGGTCAGAGAGTACTTCATTCATTAATTGACTGAGATTTAAGCTTGTGTCAAGAGAGCTTGACAAGTGTGAAGCCAATATGACCTCAAGATCACTTAAAACAATTATTGATTATCAAAACACTACACGTGGTCAAAAACCTACAGGCGGCCAAGAAAATGCATTTCACAAATCCCAGTAGGAACATTCGCAACATCCTGCATGAATAGGCAGAAGAATATATGCAAGACCAAAATGTAGGCCTAATTGACAAAAATATCAATGATGAACCTGCATAGAGGTCTGAGCAATTGTAATGAGATACAAATAATTTTGCAAATTTCAATAAGGACTATCTACAAGGTCATGCAATGTTCAGAAGGTGAGAGCACCAAAGAACATATGTACGATAGAACTGTAGCTCCATACAATCAAAATAATTCAAACTCTGGTCAACATTCAAGTGATATGTAAATCTCATAGTACATTGATATCCCACTCCAACATCACAGCAAAGCACATAAAATATCACAGCATAACATATACCTGCAATAACTAGGAGAACCCTTTAAAACTCATAGTTTTTCCCCTCTACAAATTTCGACAGTACAGTTTCTGGTCGTTGAGAAAGATTCAAGAACAAATAACTGCTTGTCTGTGCTACGTCAGCGAACACTTATAACACCATATAAGTAGACAAACACTTATCAATTAGCTATGAAATACTTCTAGCATATGCTGTTTGCTGCTGCACCTTACAATATGGTAAAATTAACAGGAAAATACATCTCATCAATACTGCTAACATTATCCATAGGATTTGATAAAGTCAATTGTGCCTAACATGGACAGCCCACTTGCTGTTGTAGTCTACTCAAGCAAACATAAAATTGAGAAATACATTGATCACAATAACAAAGTTGAAAAACTTATTTACCAGTATTAAACCAGTATATACTTAGACTTTGGAATTCACAAATTCAGCTCAAATTCCTCAATGGAATGATTTATTACATGTCCACTTGCAGAATTAAATACATACTTGAGACAGTATTTAAAATACAAAATATCACATGTCATAACATAAGTTCTAAATATTTGTTTACAAATATGACAAGTTATCTATTAAAATTTAATTTATGTCAAATGACATCTTGTCAGCCTTTAAGACTCACAAAACCTACCAATGAATGAGTGTGAGGATGTGAAAACAACCCAATTCACTAATTATTCGTCACAGCCTCACTCTTGGGGCTGTTCTTTTTGTCCTGAAAGTAAAAGGTAATTGATAAGATACAGTGGGGAAAAATATAAATTAATACAGGTCAGTCCAGCCACATGGAAATGCAGCAAAAGCACAAAATATGCACAGCAATTGGCAATAGGGAAAAAAGAGAACACATACTGTACCTATCTATATACAACTTCTGGTGTACCAAGAAGAGGTTCTGTCTGTCCATCAATTTCTGTACCGCAAAGAAATGAAATGCAAGTTTATAATTTTTACCAGCAGGAGCATGCATATTTAACATTAAAGCAGAGAAAATTTAGAGAGATCCAGAAACTGAGATGCAATTCCAAAAGAATCCCAAGTTGCAAAACCGAGACAGTTCAAGACTGAGGTATGAAATTCCATCAATCCTGTAGCAAAAAATTTTTACCTGCGTCGTAGTTTTGCTTTGGATGAGGATGTGGGCGATTAAAAGGTTGCTCCTCAGCAGAACCCAGAAACACATACACAATGTTTGTTGTTATATTCACAGCTGCCGCTAAGAAAAATACAAGTTGCCATCTCCACACAGTTTCCTGCAATAGATACAACAAAATAGAAAGTTTCACAGTGGAAAACTCTTTTAACAAAAAATGGCAAAAAACCTAAGTTAGAAGATATTGTCTCACATTTTTGTCAATAATTGAGCCAATTGTGTATGGGGCAAGGAATCCACAAAGGTTGGCCACTCCATTAGTCATTCCATACATTGTGCCAGCATATCTTGGGCTCAGTGCAACATGGTTCATTTGGTTACCAGCATATTGGGCACCAACAAACGCACCACTAATACCCATGATTATTATGACTGCCTGGCGGTCACATCCAGCCAATGCAGCTCCAATAAAACCAATAGATGGAACGATAGACGCTGTAGAAACAAAGACAATGAAAAAGTTAATCAACAATTGAAATAAATGGCTTTCTCCATAGAGACTAGGGGCTTTTCATACCAAATGAATTGAATATTTTGAAAGAGGCCACAGGAGTTAGGTACTCTTTTGCAATCAGCCAGTCAGCAACTCTGCTGAAGCACAAGCTGCTGATCCAAGATGTAAGATAAGGCACAGATGTCAACACAGAATTCTGAAAAAAAAAAAAAAATGAATAAGTGAGTGGTCATGAGCTTACTGAAAACGAAAAAAAATAAAAACAACACAACTTACAGCTTGCAAACTGAAGTGCAAAATGTTACTCATGTAGGTCGGCATCTCAGTCAACTGAGTGTAAAATGCCCAAGCCATTCCACATTGTGTCACCATGATAGCCCAAAATGGGGTGCAGGAGAATATTTCTACCCACGGAAAGTCACTGTCATCCTGGAAAATTAAAAAGTTCACATGAAATGAAACAATCGTCTTCTTCTTCCTTTTCAAACAGAAACAAATCAGCTTCAAAATACTGTGTATACCTTGCTTTGTGCATTCTCAGGTCCCAAGCAAGCCTGAATGTAGTCTCTCTCTTGAGGACTGATTTTTGGATGCGTGGAAGGTGAGTCATAGATCACCAGCCACCACACAATGGACCATATGATACCCAAACCGCCGAATACGTAGAATGCCAGTGGCCACCCACCCATCCACGTAACTGAAGCCAAGTATCCTGAGAGTGGCATGGCTATTATTGTGCCAAAGTTGGATCCTAGAAATTGAAAGAGAATGAATGAGACATTGAAAACAACAGTGTGTAATTGTAATGTAATTATACAATCTGACAGGGATTACCAACCAGAATAAACAGCGGCGGCATAAGTATTTCTTTCTAGAGGAGGAATCCACCTGGCTAACATGGCACACATAGATGGGAAGGTAACACCCTAATGAGGACAAAACAAACAAGTGTTGGTGATTGGTGGTTTAATCATAAGAAATTACAAAGGGAAAATGTACACTCACCTCTCCCAAACCTTCCAGGATTCGGATGAAAATAAAGTAGCCTTGTCCCATTCGTGCAGCAGGAGGACTTAGAATAGTGAACAGAGCAGTAAAAAAAATGCCCCATCCAAAAATACGCTTCCCACCATACTGCTCTGCTAACCTACCACCAGGTACTTGAGTGAGGACATAGCCATAAAAAAATGAGCCCAAAATAAGTCCTTGAGTACGTTCATCCCAATCAAATTCTCCACGAGACTGCAGACAGCACAAAATACAATTAGAATGTGAAATAAGAGAAATGAAAACTTTAGCTTGATAAAAATATCAACAAACTTTAGGTTCAGGGTTAGGATCTGGGCTTGGAGGACGTGGACAGACATCGCTGATGGTTGTATTGTCATCAGTAGTCGTAGAATTCACCATAGCCACAATCGCAACTGATAAATTGACACGCATAGCATACACAAGCGCCAAGCCCAAAAACCCCATGAAGCCCACCACGAAGCGGGCCTTGATGGTGTCATTTGTATCGACTACAGAGGGCTGACTTAAGGATGTTGTACCATAAGCAGTTTCTGAGGAAAGAAAAAAGGGTGATTTTAAGTGTTTAACAAAGAAGCACCAGATACACAGTGTTTATAGCCCATACCTCTGTTTCTTGACGCATTGATGAGTCCTGCATTATTGTCATCTAGAAAGTCTGATGGTTCATCAGACATTTTGCCGTCCAGCGGAGCACAGTGGCATGGAGTTACAAACAGTACCTGTCACCTAACCTGCACAAAGGATGACACACGAAATGAGACTTAAGGAAAATACTGTTTCGGTCGTAAGAAAACTGTCCGAGGGTTATCCACCATTCAACAAAGGTAATTTGACTGACTGAAAAATTGATGGAAGATCGAGGATAAAATTATATTGACGGCGTTACAAATAAAAACAAAGCAGGCAACAAGTCCGCCCCCCAAATCAGCTGGGAGGAATTTTGTTAAAGCAGACACACGATGTCCTCTACTTTACCTCTCATGGTGAATGAACAAAGACTTGTGGTCACTGAGATGATAGAGAAGACTGATAACAGCGGATCGTCTCAAGGACTGGAACAAAAGTCACTACAAAGAGAAACAAGACGTACACAACACAAACACAGGCCAAATGCCAAGGGAACTACCTTGGCTTTGGTTATTTTCAGATTTCGTACATAGACACGTTGCTTATTCGCACTAACAAGTGTTAACGGTCCGCAACGCCCTCTGTCGGCCATGAGCCGAACTCTCACACCACGGCAGTTCACTGCCCTTCCCATAGATGGCACTGCAGGCGGATGTCAAAGAGCGCCAAATTTCAAAGTTCTTTTTGTCACCACACAAATTTTATCACAACCCGGTCAAATCAAACTATACATTGCAGGTATTTGTATTTTCTACATTCAGACGCAGAAATACAACAAATTCTCGGAGCTTCCTTAAGTCTAATGACTGCCATTTCGGCCACAAACGCCTTTTCCCTGCTTTTTGCCCTTAACAAAATGCTGCCAACCCTCGCTTCCGCTGTGCGTGATACCAACATAACAACCACACGTCACGTCTGACGTTTAAAATTAAGAAGAGTGCCGTTCAAGCACAGGGACAAATAAGTTCGTAAGACTTATCTTTGTTCAGAATCGAAACCGGTATCTTTTAGGCGTGACTCAGTGGAACGGACGTTGGCTGGACTGACGACGAGGGGTGGGTGTGGGTGGGTGCCGCGCGAGCGCGGGTAAAGGGAACGGGTAGGGGCGGGAGAGGGGCCAGGGAGGGACGGTCGGAGGGGCAGCGCGGGCAGCGGGGGCAGCAGGTCGCTGGAGAACGCTGGAGTCGCTGGAGGCTCCGGGCGCCGCTTCCTCCGGATCCGGCTCCAGGCAGCTTTCCGGAGAGAAGCTGTGCCCGCGCTGGAGCCGCGAACCAGGCGCGCAGCACGGCGCAGAAGCGGCGCGGTGGATCGAGCGGTGGCGGGGCGGCGCGACTCCGGTGAGCTGTTGCTCCCGCACCATGCCCGCGAAGCGCCAAGCCAGCCAAGCCAGCCGAGCGGCTCCGGTGGGCCGGGCTCCGGGCAGCACGGCCGGCGAGGCGAAGAGGTGGCCGCGCGGCGCGGCACCAGCACCGCGGCCTTCCGCGGCTGGAGGGAGAGGGGCTGCGTCCGCGGTGGCCGGCCTTCCCGGAGACGGCCGCGCTGGAGTGCCGCTGGAGTGGCTGGAGTCGAGGGGTGGGGGTGGGGTGGGGGGCCGCGCTACCCGGAGCCTAGCGCCCGGAGTCCGACGCGACGCGCACACCTTCCGATGCGGGGAAGGGGAATGTCACGCGCGGGCGAAAATACCAGACAATTTACCTAGAACAAAAAATCCACAAATTAAAGAAAATGTTGAGAAACAAATTTTTGTCTACGAAATAAAACTATTCGATTACTAAATAAAAGGCACATTATATCACCCAGATTCATTTATACCTCGTTCGCGAAACATCGATCGAAATGGTAAGATGATTAACAAACGGGCATCGTTACTCCGGAAACGGAGCGGCAGCCTCCATGCCATAGCGGCCTGACCTGTTTGAACAGTGTTCAATTAAGATCCCCCGAACGCGATGTGTCCGACGAAGAAGCCCCCAAAGTGGCGGGCGAGCCTTGGCCTCGCCTTGGCCGTGCCCATGGAGCCCCCGGCGGGCCACACGTTGCAATTGGGCCAGTTTAATAGGTGCCGCATCGCCAGAAGGAATCAGATTGGTTGGTCCGTTGGGCCGCGTTGGGCCCCTCCTTCATCATCCGAGTCTGCGTCCGAGTGTAGACGGCCTCTGTCTTCCCTGCCGGCGCGGCTAAACCCATTCATTCCATTTATCAGGTTTGGGTTACGATGCGCCGCGACGCGCTCGGCGTTGCGACAATTTATTTCACGCCATCCTCCACACTGCTAAGCAACAAAAATACCATCCTGAATCACAGTGTGCATGTTTCGGCCGTCGGGCCCAGCACCGCTACACTCTGCCAATAGGCGCGCGAGCAGCGAACGGCAGTTCATTAATCCTGCGGATAACGAGGCACTATGCGCAGCGCGGCAGCACGGCCGCGCGAGGCGCCATAGCCGCGCCGTAGCCGCGCCAGCCCAAAATGCAAACACGAACAGGCCATTGTTTTCCCGCTAAAAGGCTAAAAGGCTAAAAGGGGCGCCGAGTACAACAGGCACTTACGGCCTTGCCTATCGCCTGGCCGCGCCTCGCCGGCAACGCGGCAAACGGCATGGCATTCCAGTTGCCTACGCGCCGAGCCTCTTCTGCCCAACAACAACAACAACAACAACAACAAATCAGCAACAACAACAACAACAACAAACAGCAACGACGACGACGACAAGGACAGACAGGGTCCCGCTTTCTGAAATTGACAGTGGAACACGCACATGACACGCCGAGGCGACCACGCTTTAAATTTGCCGCCCGGGCCGAGTGGGAGGAATGTGTCAGGCGAGCCACCTCCTCGCTGCACCCACCGCGCAATTAGTCAAAGTCTCCAATTTCCACCTCCCCCTTCTCCACACTGAAAAACCAAACGTGGTCTAGACCACACCTACTGGTGCCTGGTCAAATGGGTGACATATTGACCGCATCAGTTGGTGTGGTCTAGACCACGTTTGGTGCGTTTGGTCATTGCATGGAAAGACCTCACCAAACGTGGTCTAGACGACACCAAACGTGGTCTAGACCACACCAAACGTGGCCAAACGTGGTCTAGACCACACCAACTGATGCGTTCAAAATGGCACCCATTTGACCACACCAGTGGTGTGTTGCCACGTTTGGTTTTTCAGTGCAGCTCGGCGGAGGACGGTAGATGTGGGTAGAGGGCGCTGGCAGCGGGCTGAACGGCAACAATGACTCGCTGGGAGAGAAGGACGCAACGGGCGCAACCGGCTCGGAAAAAAGAATAAATGGCGATCCGGAAATAGCGTTGTGGGCCCCGGTGTCCGCCGGAGTCCCGGATATGGGAAGGAGGTCGAAGATGGTGGAGGATGACTCTGGCTGCGCTTCCCTGGACGACGTCTCCGCCCGCTCGGCCATGCTGCCGCCATGCTGCCACCGCCACCCATGGAATGCCCGTGTGCTGCCATGTGCTGCCATGGCATGCCCATGGCCCCAGCGTCGTTGGTGGCACGAGAAACGAAACGCCGCGTCGAGCAGCCCGGCTCTGCCCGCACAGATTTGTACTTTGACGCCACATATTTCACCTGGACGGCGTCCCGCTTGTGGGACAGCGGGGCCCCGGCGGAGTCCGGGGGGGCCGCACTCAAACGGCCGGGGCAGGGCAGGGCGGTCCATCTGATAAAGAAGGTGGGTGGAAAACGATACCAGTCCACTACTCGCCTCGGAGCACCTTCGGCCCCACCTTCACTTCGGCTGTCCCGGACGCCGGCTTGTCTTGTTGTTCGGATACGACACCGTGTCGCGGCCGATGGTCCACAGTGGGCCAGAAGACCGGTGCAGGCGGCCAAAACTCTAGAAGCGTTTTGAGCTCCAGAGTCGCTAAACAGGCCTCGAACCAAACGTGTGACCCCACCAATGGATTCCTCGTTCGGAGAGCAATCCATTGGCGGGGTCACACGTTCGGTTCGAGTCCCATTTAGCGTCTCTGGAACTCAAAACGCGTCTAGAGATTTGGCCGCCTCCACCGGTCTTCTGGCCCACTGTGTGGTCGCGGCCCGTCGCGCACTCTCGCAGGCACCGCCTTAAAATTAAAGCAACTGCCGTCCTGGCTTTCGAGAGATCGAAGTAACGGCAGGCGGATGGAATCCGCGAACGGAAACGCGCATGTCGCTTCGCTGTCCTCGGACAGGTGCGCGGCGAGGCGACGCATGACGTAGAAAGTGTTCATGTCAAATTTTAAACGCTTCGAAAGCTGAAGGTGCGGTATTGGCACGACGACGAGAATACCTGTATTGGGGACTGTCGCTAATTACCACCTAGAGAACCGCGTGTGCCTCTGTGTGGTGTGTGTGTGTGTGTGTGCGTGCGCGTGTGTGTGTGTGTGTGTGTGTGTGTGTGCGTGTGTGAGTGTGTGGGCGTGCGTTCGGCACACTGCCCGATTAATTAACGCAGGCGAGTATCCCCTGTGAGTGGCCGTGCTTTGAGATACAATAAGGCGGTGAAAGCACCATACTTGCGCGCCGCGTCTCGCCGAGAAGGCTGTGGGGGGTCATCTATTGCCGCGACCGCCGCGACCTCTGTGAGCCCGTGTCGCTACTAATGGTCGTGTTCGTTGAAAGGGCTTTCACCCTTTGCTCCAGTTTATGGACGCGTTTCGGCCGGCACGGCAAAACGGCCAGTAAATTGTCACATGAAAAAAAAACTCCCGCCTGGTCCCGTTAATATTTGAACCCGGGAGCCTCATCAGAGCACGCACGCATGATTGACTCTGGCAGCAGAGCAGGCCCTGCAAGGAGGCGCCGGCGGCGTCGACACCCGTTTCCTCGCTTCCGTTACGTACGCACACGCATCGCCTCCATTTTTCCTCTTACCGAGAAGTGCGGGCCCTTCTCGCAACCCGAGTCAGCAGCCAGGCCCGTTCAGAGGGCCGCGAAACAAAAGTGTGTCGGATGGGAATCGAATGCCAGAGCAACAGCAAGACGGAGGACGTACCTGATGTGAGAAAACAGAGTTACATTCTTTTTTCCTCCCTTTTTTTCACCTTCAAAGTGATGAACCCTTGTATGCACTCCACTTCCTGAGACTGTCGGACTCCCACTCGCGAGTCCCAGCCCAGCCGGACGGCCTCGTCGGCCTGGTACGGTACGGCTCGGCCCTAACAAAGCGGGGCTCGGAAGGGCCGCGTGCGAAACAGCCACGCGTCAAGACACTTACTGCAATTAATTGGCAACAAGAGGCGCACGGACGGACAGACAGACAGACGGACAGACAGACACTATGGACAGACAAACAGACAGACAGACAGAGACAGACAGACGGACAGACAAGACAGACGGACAGACCGACAGACGGACCGACTTGCGTGCGAGTGGCAATGGAGTGGCATAGTGTTGCCAAAACGAATTGTCATCGGGCTTGGAGGCAAAGTGGCGGCATAACGCAGCCAAAGCCCCGGGCCCCGGAGCCACAGCTGTGCCACAGTGACACGGATGTGGCCCCGGCCGGCCGGCCAGGCCGCCCAGGCAGGCCGTGCTGGGC